GACTCCAAGTTTTGAGTTTTTCTAGTTTTATGTTTGCACATTAAAATCACCATAAAAAGAAACAAAGAAACCAAATTTTTTGTATAGTGTGTCTACGGAAGAATGGAATTTCAAATAAACCTTAACTGATTACTACATTAGAGATCATTTGTGAATGTTTTTTTTCGCACGTCTAGAACGTTACCGCCTCAAGGCTTGACATTTTAATTACTAAATCCATCAACGGAACGGCATTTATATAGGGGACTTTGAAGACCCAGACGTGCTTACACCGATTGTTGTATTACTACCTCTGGTACAATGTTTTTTTCTGACGTCCAGTCATTTAGAAAATTGTGCCTTAAAATACTAGCTCAACTGAATAAATTGTTTGGCGTCGATGATGTTTAAGCTACCATGCGTACATCAGCAGTGTAAATGGCTTACAACGGAGAGAACTGGGCCACATGACCTTAAGGGCGTCAGTCCTTTTAACTGCACTAACCACAAATGAGGCCTCAAAAGCTTATTCTATTTGCAGTTTCCCGTCGCAAAACTCCTTATTATCATGCATGGGAGACCTCTGCACCTGTCTAAAGGTGATAGTCGTGACCATCGTACACTTAAGTAGCCACATACAAACATAACTTCACGACGATAACAGTCGCTAGGCCACGACACAGACGTGTTGCTAGGCTAGAAGCCGGTTACCTTGGCCCCCCTCCCACCCTCCAGCAGGTGTTTCTGTTTAGATAGCGCACGATCCACGACCCTGGCACCTGGATAAACGGAGGTGACAGAACTGATGTCCCGCCCCATCGTACAATAGGGGAGGGTTGGGGTGGGGCGGGAGAGTGAAAGTGGAAAAGGGGAAACATAGAGACCCCTTATTTCTCGGCTTAGCCACAGCAACCACATATATACCTCATAATTAGCAAAAATGCGATATTTGTGTTGGGGGGGTCACGGGTGTTGCCTAGGCCTTCAGAGAAAATGAAATTTCTTTCAGGCCTAGGTGATATTGCGCATAGAAGAAGAGTAATCTAAATATTTTCCCTTAAAAGTCAAAACTGCTTTTGCATGTCAGTACGGTCTAGTAAATACAGGGAAGGGTTAGTAGTCGATGGGATGGTGTTTGTATTGAGACCCTCCAGTGGAAAACCAAGAACGTAAGCTTGTGTCACATGGACAAATCCAGTAGATACCATTTCCATGGCCAAAATAGCAGGATTTCGGAACAGAGATCACCATTTTTGACCAATTAGCTCATTAACAAGTTGTATTTCATCACATTGATTGTTTAACTCCGCATTTTGGTTACTTCCGATAGGCGATATGACCTCCGAGCCATGCTGATAGCCTTGGTTCTACTGTACATCAGTAATACATCTATCATTCTCCTGCGCTTGACTCCAACTTCAGGAATACCTCCACCAGCTAGACAGAGCCTTGATAGACTGAAGCTAGGCGGCACTGAAGTAGGAACAAGTAGCAAGGAGGAGCAGACGGGAAACCTTATTCCCCAAAAACTATTTTAAACGCCGTCATTTAATAAATAAATCGGGTCTTAGGCCAGTGGTTTGAAGTCTAACGGTAGACATATCAAATGTCCGGTACTTTCCTCTTTCACCCGTGCATTTCCCCAACTGGGCAAAACTCCAGATCCAGTGAAATCGCTGAGACACTACAGCTAAGCATATTCTCAGTTAAACTCTAATTTGATGACTGATGCAGATGTTTCGTGGGTGTTTTTCTTACAGCACCGGCTACGTTTTAAAGGTCAACGTGGAACCTTAACTAAGGGAAGCGCAGGGGACAACGCTCAAACACCTTGATTGTTTATTTAACTCTGCGGTTGGTTACACGGGCGCTTAAGGCCCCGCCACTACATATTCGCTAGGCAGCCTGCTCTTCAAACAATGCTAGTAGAACCTCAGCCCTTCTCTATGTTGACAATACACTTTATGGCTTAGCGTTATTACTTTACCCGACTTCAGGAAAGATTCGCAGCGCTTCAGTCACTCATTCTAAATAATAATGGTGGATAAATAAAGCTGAGCATTATTCATGCACCATCATATTTAATGACATGAATTTTAAGGGTATTTAAGGAAATAAGTAAATGACTTTGAAGAACCCGCTTAGTTGCTGATGGCTGCCGGGGCTAGAGGCTTTCAAGGTTATCAAATCCTCGTGATCTCAACACGTATTGAAACATAAAGGGGAACAGAGGTGTTAACCTTCGTATCACTTTTACACTCCCACAAATATAGCAGAAGTTCTACTGAAATATTCCGTAATTTTATGGGAAGGGAACTGACCATCATTAATAGAAGGACTGCAAATAGGGTCGGTAATTTGGGGCATACTTAGGCGTCCATTTCACAGACAACTGAAAGCATGGTAAATGTTAACAAAAGTACTTTGTGTGGTGTTTCAGTTTTGGAGAAGAGCTGCAGTGAGCCGGTGCCAGGACAGCCTGATTACTAGAATAAATACAACGAGGCCTACAAAATCAGGTCCTTAACAAGGTCCACTCCAGAGGGCTTAGCCTCTCACTTAAATGACCCTTAGCAGGTGACCTCAATTCAAAGTGGATCCGTTTTTTTGCTCATATGTTTCATATATACAATGACTGTAACCGTAAATCCCGTCTTATATACCTCCATCTGTCTGGATTTTGCTTCACCATTGCCCTCTTCACCTCAATCTCCTGTTTAGATGCCTAATTGTGTGATTAATTAATGCATTACATTTACAAACGAAGCTTACGATTACCGAGAAACCTCAGCTAAAATTATTCTCGTTTAATGACAAGAAATTTTTCAAAAAATATCAAAAGACCATCCTCTCCATCATTTTAGGATAATCAGACAGAATGCTTTTGTTTCCCTTTTTAAACGTAAGGTTTTTAAATTGACAACGCGTTTTTTTCTGCTAATTTGGTGGGCCAACTTTGGGATAACTTCATGATGCCGGGAAATGCATCTTCAGTGAATAAATTGCACAGTATAGGAGGAGGAGGAGGAGGGGGAGGGGGAGGAGGAGGAGGAGGAGGAGGAGGAGGAGGAGGAGGAGGAGGAGGAGGAGGAGGAGGAGGAGGAGGAGGAGGAGGA